TGCTCAGCCTTGCACGCATACAGGGCTTTCGCCTTCCGGAATGGTGTGCTGTGTGGAAACAGGCATTTATTTAGAAAGTTTTAACAAACACTCTGAAAGCCCCAGGTATTTAATCTCGCTTCCTCCCCTCCCCTGTAACTGCTCCTCTCCCGCGGCAAGCGGCTGACAAGGCAGCCAGACAGCAAAACATGAGGTGGAAAAGTTGCAAAGGTCACTGGAGAAAAATGTGAAATAGTCAGAGAAAAGCAGTAAGCCCCAATAAACCACATTTCTTGTGGGGTCACCGTGTGCCAAGTCAGAACTTAACCTAGGCGTTAGGATAGCTGAGCGGTGGGAGGGAAGGCGGGAGCCCATTTTTGGAGCAGAAGTAGCTTGGGCGGAGGGAGGCGGGGGCAGGAAGGAATTTCCAGGTTCCTCTGGGGAACACTCCCAGCAGACCCTGGCCAGAGCTGGCGATTCTCAGTGAGGCAGAAGGGAGAAATTCTAGCAGAGCCGGGTGTCGGCTCCAGGCCACGGGCTGACATTAGCTCTCCCAGATGTTCCTTGTTTCTCATTGGGCTGGTGGAGCAGGATTCCAGTGCTGGAACTCCCTGACCCCCAGGGTAGGGCAGGGAATAGACGAGGGGTGTGTGCGAGCAGTGTCACACGTGTGTGCATGCATGTGCACGCGAACTTGCATGGAGAGTGTGGGAAGGAAGAAGGCAGAGGGCGTGTGGTGTGCTGTGGTGCCTTTCTCAGGCCAATGAGTGCTCACAGCGGCTCTGTGTGCGTCAGAATCACCTGGAGAGTTTGACAAAATGGTGTTTGGATTCTATCCTGACTTGCAGATTCAGCTCTTCAAGTGACTCCAGTGTGCCACCAGGGCTGAGAAACTGTCGTCTAGAGCAGGGGTTGGCACAGTCTCTCTGTCGAGGGCCAGGTAAGCATTTTAGGTCTCGTGGGCCGTATGGCCTCCGTTGCCATGGCTCGCTTCTGCATTGCGGTGTGAAAGCGTTCACGACAACCCGTGAACCGAGCAGTGTGGCTGCGCTCCATCAAAAGTTTACTTATAAAAAAACAGATGGCGGGCCGGATTTGACCCAAGGGCTACAGGTTGCTGTGTTCTAGAAATAAGCTGTAAGAGTTGGTAAATTCTATTACCTCCTATCAGTATGCGCTTTGATATCAAACTAGATTCAAAGGATCTACGGACTTCCTGAGGGTCATAAGAAAAATGACATTTAACGGTCAAAAGCTGGCTCTTTGTCAAAAGCAATCTGCCGCTCGCACCAAGCCATCTGAGGAAACATATTTAGGGACTCCAGGGCAGAAAAACAAAAGAGCAAATAGGTCCTCTGGCTCAGAAAATTCTTCAAGGCACATATGTTATTGGCTTTATCTTCATTTGACTAATGAAGAGCCTCCAGGAGCCAGTGAGGCTAGGCCTCCTGTGGTGCGCTGATCTGTAGCGGCCAAATGAGCTGCAGCTGTGGAACGGCTGGTCTCAGGTAAATCCGGACAGAATCAGAAGAGGCAGGGGACTTGGGTCATTAGGGAACTGTTATTCCTCAGAGTCCAGCTTCCGTTGGGGAAAGAGGAGGCATAGATGGGTGCAAACCTACACCCGGGACAGGCATCTACAACTTTTAGTCTTGGGTCCATGCAAGCTAAGGAAAGATGGCTTCTAAGGTCTGGTGTGCAGAAGGGTCAGAGCAGACGATCAGCCAGAATTTGTTGCCAGGATACAGTTTACTGTTCTCTCTGGTCTTCCAGTAGCCAAGAGATGATGGCCAGGTGGGAGAAAAATTGGGTAAGTGGGAGAAAAATGAAGTGGGTCTGCTGGGAATGACGGAAAGAGCCTTTAGAATTCATCAGCTCCAACTGGAAAACAGCTCTTCCTGTGTAATGATCTGTGTAAAGTCAGAATGAAGTTCAGGACAAGGGGCACATTCCGTGATGGAATTAACCCAAATGTATGTGTTGGCCACGAGGACCGAACAGCCAATGTGCAACTTTACGCAGAGGAAAAAAATGTTGGGGTTGGTTTTTTTTAGAGTAGGTGGGGTAGCAGAGAGGAGACACCTGGCTGTGAGAAGCATCAAACAGCCCCAAAGCCACACCTATCAGCAGGTAGACCCTGTCATGACAGGGTAGGCAGAAGGAGAAACCGGTCACAGTGACCTCGAGGGTCACTGTCTCTTGAGGACAGGGCAGGCAGGTGGGTGGAGAGCAGAGAGACCAGGGACGGGGAAATAAAAGGTGAGGGAAAGATCACCTGAAGCAAGGCCCCTGCAGTTGGATTTTCATGAAGGTTACTTATCAACCCCAGGAAATAAAGGGACTAGGACAGGCCAGGGGCAGGCCAGGGAAGCCAGCAGGGGTGCCTGGCAGAAACAAAGCGCAGGGGAAGGAAGAAGGCAGAGGGCGTGTGGTGCGCTGTGGTGACTTCCAAGATTGTCATTCAAGAGGACTAATCTTCCACTAACATTATGCTTTTGGAATTGAATAATGAAGTGACAATAAAATAGCACATTAAAAATAAAAGCAAAGGTCAGGAAAGGGCCTTGGTTTTTCCTCAGAATGACAGGTGACAGTCTGTGACCGTGTCTTGCCCCGAGACCTCCTCCCACCCCTTAGGCTGTGCACACAGACAGGAGCGGTGACAGGGGGAGTGTGTTTAAGGGGACCACTCCTGCTTCCCGGAACTAGGGTTGCCAAATAAAACACAAGACACCTAAGTTAAATGTGAGCTTCAGGTCAATCAGGAATTGATGCGTCGGACATACTTACACTAAAAAAAAAAATCAGTTATTGCTGATCTGTAACTCAAATGTAACTAAGTGCTCTGTATTTTTGTTTTATTTGCTAAATCTGGCAACCCTACCCAGAGAGCAAGCATGCCAGCCCCACAAGTCTAGTGGCCCACACCACACTCCCTCTCAAAAGCAGTGAGCGGTTTGTTCTGGGTAGCTACCAAAACAGACCCTGGGAGCACAGAACCTTTGTAGACTTTGGCTCTGATTAAAATATAAAAAAAACCCCACCAAACATCTTTGGTTTTTCAGCTCCCTGGCTCTGTATTGTCCACAGTGCATCTCAATGCTGGACACGGAGAGCCTGAGGTGCCTCCGGCTGCCTCTGTAACGGCGCCCTTCAGACCTCAGCTGGGCCTTCAAGGGCACGGGCAAGTTTGGAACCTTCTGCTAGTTCATTTTTAATTTTCGCCTCTGAGCGTGGCACGAGGCCAGGAAAGCACTCAGAGGCCTTCCCCTCAAATGCCCTCGCAAACCCTGCAAAACGACAACCCACTCTCCATTGTACGACACTGCAGGGAGGTGGGGCCAGAGAGACCGGCAGGTTGCAGGAACTTCATTGCTACAATTTCTAGAGGCCCATGAATAAATGCAAGTTATGTGTTTGGGGCTGAGACCTTTTCTAGGGGTGCAAGTGAAAGGAAAGGGACACACGTAGGAAATATTCCTCCAGGACCCTTCCTCTGCTGTGCTGTGAAAGCCGTCTTCATGCCTGAGCTTGAACTAACAAGCACTAAAAATGCTCTGAAGTGGGGACAGGAAGCCATTTCCAGAGGAGATTTTTTATGTAGAAGTTCATGGAACCATTCGTTAGGTCAATTTAAGTATTTATTTTTAAAAGCTCTGCCCAAGGAAGGAAATCTGAAGCTTCACAATCTGGAAGCTTCACTATTCAGCAGACCTGAATAGTGGGTGCATGCCCGCACCTCTTGGCCGCACACTGCAACAGCAGTGGGGGGATTTCAGCCCTCTGGGCTGCCTGGCTCTGATGGGCAGCTTCCCCGCAGTCCCTCTCTGTGCCCACTTGGGCACATGTATTCAGCTCAGGGACAGCCAGTTCCAAGCCCTACTGTGCCTTTCCCATTTCAAAACGGCAGCCTCCCAAAGGGGCGGTGGACAGCATCGCCCAAAGGGCGTTCCTCTAACGACGGTCAGGGCGCCCGGCGCCGAGTGACCGTGAACCCAAACACGCCCGGAGAGCGGGCTTTGTCGCCTCTGTTCTCTGTCGGTCTGGAAATACTCCGGGAGTTCGGAGTAGCTGAAGAAAAAAATGTGGGATTATTTGGGGAGACGGAAGGGAATGGAGATACTGCACAGTTAACAGGGCCCCGAAACTCAGAGACACAAAAAAGTGGATACCCTCAAAGCAGAGAGTACATTTTGGTTTTTTTTCAGCTGAATGATTCTACTGTCCTGAGACCCATTCTGTCCAGGTGGCCAGTGTTTTCCACGTTTTACTTCCTTGTATCAAAATGAAAGAGCCACCTTCTCTTCATGCCCAAATCTCTTAGGAGTGATGCATTCTGAAAAGTGACTGTCTCTGGTCCCTGAAGTTCGCTCTGGTTTAGGTCCTCCTGGTGGCGATTAGTGATCTAACCAGAACGATCCATGCCATATTTGGTGTCCAAAACAGTTAATGTCTCCCAAAGGACCCAGAATATGCCTAAGAAATAATCAGGAAATAACTTGAGTGCCAGGAAAACATGACTTAAATTTTTACCTTATTCCTGGATGAGGATAAAATAATACACTGAAAAGCTATCTTTCCCATCTTCCAGTGCAAAGCTAGACAGAAAACCTAGAAGAGCAGGCCAGACTCTGGGGCTGGGAGTTGCATGGAAACCTAGATTTGGGGTCACCCTTATGTTTAGAGGACAGGGTGCTGGGATGGGGGCAAGAAAGCCTGAAATCTGGACTGGCTTTCCTCTGGTCATGTGACCATGTGCCAGTCACCTCTCTGTGCCTTAGTTTTCTTTCTCTATTTTAGGGTTCAGGCCATTTCTCCTCTCATTCCCACACGAACACAGAATGAAATGATAGATATGAAAGTGCCTGGAGAACAATGCAGCTTTATATATACATATATATCTGTGTGTGTGTGTCTGCATATAAATAGCATAGGGCTTTCTTTTTTTAAAAGTAAGACTCAGTATTATAAATAATTAATGCCTCTCTGCTGGACCCACTCCTCAGGAAAAAGCCAGCTATGAGAAAAAGATGGATGAGAAAATACTGCCAAGGCCCAAAATGCTTATG